TTTGTACGACTTTTATTCATTCTGGGGCTTTGTTTAATGTTTGAGCTACTTTGTAGCTCATAAATAGTACAATGATAACCCGGGAGGATGAGGTATGAACAAATTTGTATAACTAGTTAAATAAAACAACCACTAATAGTGATATAACTCATCACTTCTCAATGTTTAAGATCGATCGATATATCGTGATAATACTTTTACTCATAAAAAATAATACCAATAACTTTCAATTATTAAAAATTTAAATTTTTGTTAAATGATATAAGGATTTTATTTAATATTCTAATGTAGTCGTTTTATTATTTTATTCTTTTTTATTTATAGGTAGGTATCTATAAAATTATAATATAGAAAAAATATATTTATTACCTACTTGTTTTTTTGATAATAATCTATTTGTTGAAAGTTGAAATATATAAAAATATTTTTGTGAAAGACAAGTAGGTATAATAGGGTATATACTAACCAATATTTAATTATTTAATTTAGTTTACTTTAATTTAGTCTACTATTTTTTTCGGGGGAGGGGGTTTAGGTTAGGTTTGTTAAGGCCCATTTAAGGGAAAGTGGCCCGTTTTCTTCATGGCACATCCCATACCAAATTCCGGCGAATGCCTAAATGGTAGTACACTAATATTAATGACTAATAGTAAAATAAATTACTTTTATCCCAATTATACCATAAAATATACTTAGTATAGGCTGACAGATAGTCTTCGATCGGAATCGTTTTTCGTAGGTATACAATTATTATTTTATATCATTGAATTCAAATTTAACACATCCACTACAGTGACTTCTCTAAACACTTAATGATCGTCATCGACTTCCACGCTTTTATATCCTTGAACAACAAGAATCAAGATGCATATAGGAATAACATTTATTTTAATAATGATTACTGTTGTCTAATTATTGTTATATGACGCATGGATAGCCCCCAAATAAAAGTTTAAATTCCACTGACTGAGTAATAGTTGCTAAAAGGTATTAATTAAAAAAAACATCTTCAAAATGTACTAAAATAATTTTAAATGTTGCTATCCTAGTAAATATTAAACTTGCCTTGAAAACATTCTATTATTTCAATTGAAGTATGAAACAAATGTGGGCAGCCTCTAGTTATGGTTATGAGTACCTGTACCAACTACCAATTACAGTAATTATTCAAGACATCTCTGATTCATAATTATACTGAAATCTTTTAAAATTATACAAAAGACAAATAATAAATTAAAAAATTAAAAAATTAAAAAATTAAAAAGTTGTAATTGGCACATTTAAATAAAAAATATCCAATTACAACTCGTTGGGTTTTTTGTTTATACTGATTACTTAGCATTCTCAGTCAAACCTTCACTTAATTGTGCCTTATAATAAGTTAGTTACGAATAAATTCAGTTTTGCAATAAGATAATTTCAGGTCACATCCAATGTGGGCTATCGACATTCACGAATCACCCAAAAAAATTTTAATTTTTAAAATGGAACGAACATCCACGTTATTTTGTCGAAAAATTATTAGTCAGATAATTAGTTTTATCGTGCTTAGTTTGAATAATAAATATGTTATCATACTTGGGTTGTGACCTCTGTGTATTTGGAGTCAAAATTCGAAATTATAATTATATTATATATTTATATTGTTGAGGTTCTTATCGGGAGCCTAAGACGTTAGGTTAGGTTAGGCTCAAGAGATAACCATTTACCGTGAAAACCATAACAAGAGCGTACTATATTTTCCGGATTGGATAGTGGTTTTGCTGTTCACCCACTGGAAACGATAGGTACATCAAAATAAAATACCTATTACCTTGTATCTCTTAGTTCTTAGGTTCTTCTCTTCTTTGCGTTGGAACACTAGGCAGCAAGATACTGAGATAATGTAAGAATAATAATTATTATTATTGGGACCGATGTTGCTAGGTAACAGTTGTTGATACGATAATCTCGATTATAATGTTTTTATGTATGTGGGTATTATAAATTTTGTGTTTTAAATAGTCTCACGGCCCACGCTGTGGTATTTATATAAGTATCTACTACGAGTTTATATACCTATATACCTATTTATAACTACTGAAAGACCATGATTCCATGCTTATATTGCTAAGCATGGATAAAGAGCTTATAGATGAGGAATGTACTATATTATTATAGTATATTAATATATATAGTATAATGTACCTACTATAATAAGTAAAATTAAAAAAAAAGTTATTCTGTAGAATAATAAAATAAAAATAAAAAGTGTAATAAATACGGAGTAGTATAAGCGATTTCCTTTCAAAAATGCTAATTATTGACAAATTATTTTAATTTAATAAAAACTATTTTGTGCATTACTTATTTGATCTATTACTTGTCACTTGTGTATCTATGTTAGTAGTTAATTTTCTTTCATGCTATATTAGTAAATCCATTACCTTTACCTACTATTACATGCGATCCCTGGCCCCTGTGAGGGGAAATCGAGCTAAAACCCACCTACTCAAAATACAAGTATTCCAATCCTAAGTCTTGAGGACAATATCTAACGCTTCAGGGTTTGTTCATAATCTTGAACTCCACAACGACTTTCAGCTACCCACAATAGCTGAGTAGGAACATAAAAAAATTAGTAATCAATTTCTTTAACCACATCAATTCGGCTCGCAGTGCAAAATTCTACAGTAAAAGTGAGTGACCCACTTTCTGTTCGCCGACTCAAGTGCGTGGACGCCCCCAAATGTCCATTTATTATATTTTTTTGTAATCTTCTTGATTGTAAATACATTAAGACGTATATAGTATCTAGGTAGTATATTATATTACTAATGTCATATTTAAAACACTGTACATTGTCCAACACTGTATATTATCATCATTACCTAATGACTTATGTCTTATGACACTATTATTGTTATTGATATCTATTTTACAAATGTCAAAAATATGTAATTTTTTAAGCAATATAATTAAATGACAATGTCAGGGAGACTTAAATTAGTAGAAAAAAAGCAGTAATTGATAGCCCAATACAACTTTGGTATTTTTGTTTGAATTTATTTATTTTATTTTTTTGGTACAAATTAGTATTTATAGTTTGCGAAAATAAGTAATAACACGTTTATGTTATTATGTTAGCAATCATATTATGTTTATGGATGATGTAGGTATATTAAAAATAATAATGTGAAATATGATCCTCATTGACATTGTATAATTAGAGTTAGTAGTTATGTGAACAAAGTTCATATACAAAATATTTAAGATACACTATACTATATATAAATATTAAATATTATATATTTATATTAGATTCTAGGTGTAGTGATAAATGTACCAATTGGTTTTACAATGATGTGTATGATTATTTGTGTTCATCACTACCTAGACACTTCAAGTTCAAATATCTATGAAATTGGATACCTATTTAAATGAAAAATAACTATATTACCCAGTTATTTTATTGTAATTCAAAATAGATTATTCATTGGGATTTGAAACTTCTCTGGCCACTACGCTTATATTATTATTTACAATATGCAATGCAATTTTCAAAATATTTAGATTAATTTTAATTTTAAGAAAGACCTTAGGTATTTGGAGGGGGGCATCATTTATAAGTATCCAGAAAATAATTAACTTTTTGTATTATAGGTAGGTATTAGGTTGACAAACTTATGTGAAATCTTTTATTGACATTTTTAATCTTAGAATATATTTTATGAATTTCTAATGGAAAAATAATTTACAACATTTCTCATGGCTATTAATAGTTGAAAAAGAGTCAAAATTGTTTGAAAATTGTACCTAAAAAAGTATTTAGGATTATTCTTTTATAAATTACAACAAAACATCAAAAATTGATAGATGAAAATTCGTTAATTTACTAATGAAAATCCAATATCGTAAAAAATTCAAACGTTCATTAAAAATTAATATTACTTTCCAGTAAACTTTTTTTTTTAAGTTAGGTATAGGAAAATTTGTGGGGAGTCCTCTATTAAAATTTCTAATGTTACCTATGAAAGGAAAATTTATAAATTTTTAACTGAAAAAAAGTTTGTACATTTTCAAAATTTTGATGAATTTAGTCAAAATTTGAATCTTTAATGAATATAAAAATAATTATGCCTATATATATTTATATTTTTGAACTTATATTAATGAAACTTATAAGGAACCTTGCATACAATTTGCAAGCTCTTTTACTTGGTGAAAAAGTTTTTATTGAGAATAATATACAATGTTACCATTTATATAAAATACTAATATAAATATTTGGTAAAAATTTCAATGTTCTACGGTTATTAATTTTTGAGTTAGGTTCACCAAAAAAATAACCTAGATTTTTTCAAAAATTGGTTTTGCTTAAAAATTAACACTTTTTTCACTTTTTTTTTCTTTTTCTTGACCCTTCCTAAAACTATTAAATTTTGACATCCCAAAAGTACCAATTAGATTCATTTTTCTATCAGAAAATATGCTCCACTCAGAATCTAAAACTTTTATTTTGTTTTTATAACTGATAGTGTCTAATATGTTGCTCCTAGGTGGCAAATCTAAATACGGCCTTGATTCTATGCTATTATTATACCACAAACAATTCAAACCTGCAGTAGATACTTACATCGGTAATTAGGTGTCGACTTTGGTATAAGTTAATATAAGCGAACTCTAGTAATATTACCTATAAATGGCAAAATATATATGTATATTAATATAGCCTGTGTAGATAAACATAAACTAACCCAGTGCCATCTCGGTTGATTTTTTTTTTTTCGTACAACCTAGATCTTACATCTTATGCTAATATTTCAGTTGCACTCAGTCGGCGACTATATAAGACGTCCCACCGGAATCAAAGTAAATCATTTGTGATAGTGCCGTCGAACGAGAAAAATACCAACTCTGTTGCTGTTTATAATTATTCCAGTGTGCGAATATCTATCGTCTACCTACTGTAAATACTAAATACGGTTCACCCTTTCATATTATTCACCCACCACACTACCATGAACCGACAAAAGGTAAGCGAAAAACAATATTAACTATGTTATAGGTACACCCACTGTATATACTGCACACCGTGAATATTAATGTTATACCTATTACTACAATAATTTTTTATATTAAGAGGACGTAACAGTGGTATTTGTTGTCTCCGTCTTACAAGTGCGTAACATAGCAAATTTACGCTCAACAAAACACGTGTAACTTCGTTGGTTTAAACATTAGAGTGAATTGACCTATTATGAAAATTGATGGTAAGAACATTATTTGTGTTTGTACATTGAATTTTTACAATATTTCAATTTTTTAGCAAGTTATGCATATATAATATACCGTAAATTAAAAATGCTCATAACTCACTTAAAAACTGAATTATCGTAAAAAATCAACGCGTAAACACAGATAATGTTCTTACCATACATTTTCATAATAGGTCAATTCACTCTAATGTTTAAACTGACGAAGCCACAAGTGTTATTCTGAGCGTATATTTGCTATGTTGCGCACTGGTAAGACGGAAACAACAAATACCAGTGTTACGTCCTCTTAAAATATATATTTTAGTTAAATAAAAAATGTATCCATTTACTCGTTAGCATACACAATCGTTAGTTATATTTTATTCTCGGAATTTCATGTTAAATATTCAAAACAATATAGCAATTGTTACAATAGTTACAACACCTATATACAATTAAATTTAATCATACAATTAAATCGTTGCTATATTTTGTTTATCACATTAAATTAATTAAAAAGTACTCTAGGTACCTAGATTTGCTAGATAATAAAGTGTCCCCAAGTTTATAATTTATTGAATGACCGTTTTAATTTTCAGTTAGATATTATTAATTTTTTTATTTTTAAAATTGTTTTCAATCCAAATAATTTTAAAGTACTTATATACTTTTGAAATGTTTACTAGCAAATATTAAAATCTATAGCAATTTGGTACGTACTACGTACCCAATCATAATACTAAATAATATTATTGAATATTGGTTTGTAATAAATATAATGTAAATTGTTTGATTTAAAACTTTTTATTTATTAAATCCAAAAATAGTTAATAGGATACATTTTCTACAGAATGCATAAAAGTACCTATCTAAAAAATTAGTTTGTATAGAAACTACTACCTATACGATTAAATTTGTCCATAGTATAATATACATAAATAATAATTTTTACAGCAACCATTGCCCATTGCCTATGACAATTTTTAAATTGCAATTCGTAAGTACTCACCGATCTACTAATAGGTATATGCTTTACTGCAACCTACCTTATACATATAATATGTATAATATTATGATATGATAAAGTATAACAATAAGAATTTGATAATTTTAATCTATAACATTTTTCTAACTTTCTTATGGATTATAACTTGAACTACTAAAAACGTATATAAATATTTTTTCTATCGAACTAATTCGCCAGTGCATACCACGTATTTGTTTATATATTATTTTGTATGTGTATTGTGTACTTGTGCAGTTGTGTGTACTTTTGTTATTTAAAATAAATATTTTTATATGTATAAGATATTAAAATGCACACAAATAATCTATAATACTACATAATGAAATGTTTAGTATACATTATTATAATATTTATATACCTAGTTAACAACTTAAACTTGGATAAACTCGCACGATTATATTTTAAATGTTGATCTTATTTTTTTGTTCAATTATTACCAATTTCATAATTCATTGAAATATCGATAAAATCATAATTTTGCCAAAAACAATAGTTATACTTTCGTATCTCAATAATATTCATCTTGGGGACGAGGTGGCCGAGCGGTCCAACGCGTCGTCTGCGGCGCTGGCAGTCGCGGGTTCGATTCCCGGCCACTGGGCGGCATTTTTCTCCGGGCAAGTCACGGTGTCCGGAAAACAAGTGCCGCCATCCCCCACTCCGGGGCATGGCAGAAACCTACGGGTGCCCCATTCAAAATTCTGCCAAAATACACCCACGTGTAACACCCCCTACCGTTAAATAACCTACAGTACCAACCCCTCTCCCAATGGCCTAAGTTGCCGCGGGATAAAATTAATAAAAAAAAAAAAAAAAATATTCATCTTGAATTTTTGTAATGCAAAAACATTTAAGATTTTTATTAAACAATGTACAATATCCCAGTATACTTACCTACGTCCTAAACATTTTAACTTTAGTGTTTAGCTTACAATATGTACAATACATGAATAGGTACGTATACGGTATACGTATCTAATACGACAATGATAATTTAAACCTTTTAATGTTATAACGCCTAGGTACTAGCTGACTTCTTGCACTTCGTTGCCCATTAAAAATGCCAACTCTATGATATATGATTTAAACTTTGTTCAATCCGTTATTTATTATTCTGTGTAATGGTGTTCAAAAATTAAAAACTTTCATCATGAATCTCAAAATACTTGTGTAACCATTTTAAAATGCGAATTTTGGAAAATGTTTTCTTAGTGCACACTTTGTTGGTGCGAAGGTAGTAAGGTCCGTGAACATTGCAAGTCTATGCTATACGTTGATCAGACAGGACACATTCGATTATATTATATTATTATATCATAGCCCGGCGCTGCTCATGGGACTCGCTTGTGATTATGCGAGAAGTCTATTTATCAGGTTAGATTAACTATTAATTATTATATTTTACATACTCTGCGAGGTGCCTGTGTAAGAGTTTATTTTATAAAATAATACCTACAAGGAAGATAATTCAAAATAGCCGTCCTCCTTACATTTCGTTGCCTGTAAAAATGCCACCGAAAATATGATTCAAACTTTATGTTAAGGTGCCCGGTGCCGATGCCATTTTGTCCTCAAAAATACACTCTGAGAGAATAACGATACCGCCTTGTAGAATCAACCAAATTTCATTTTTTTTTTTTTTTTAATTTATTGCTAGAGGGAAATATTTTACAGCCCGCATCGATCCCTGTTTTTCAATGTTTTATTCTCAAACTTTATAATATATATCTAAAAAAAATACAAGATAAAAAGCATATTTTTACAAATTTTTTAATTCGATTATTTGAAATAAAATACAAAATCAGAGATCGATGAGGGCTGTAGGAAGTCTTCTTCTTTCAGATAAAAAAATATTCATCAAAATCCGAAAATTCCACAAAGCTTGAGAGTTACTCACGTAAAGTCATTTTTTCCGATAAAATACACACTATCAACCTCTCATAAATCGGGTAGTAGGTTAGTGGAAGTCTTATAATTGAATAAAATATAAAATTTAATTTTCAAATTTTATAGAACTGCGGAAGATTTGAAAACTGGCACCGGGACCCTTAAATTTGTTACCTAATTAATAACCGCTTGTTTACAACTTAAAAAAAAGATTTAAGTTTAACTTTGATTTTTAATACATTAATCATAACATTGTACATTTATTAGCATTTAGGACTGGGTTTATTTTTGTAAAGATTACGCCTATTACGTAAACCTAACAATCATGTAATAATTTTATTTTTATTTTTTTACATAAATAACGTTATCATGAATTTAATATATAGAAGCTAGGTGTAGCAATCGTGCCGCTGACTTTTATTAAAATCTACGTATTAATGACCGATGTTTTTGTAGTACCTACATTGTTTCAAATTCTATCCAACCATTAGGTATAATATATTGAAATAAACCGTTTTTATGTGTTATACCGAATATATAATACAGGTAACAGGTCTAAAATTAGTTATATACTATACTAGCTATTTATTAAAATATATTGTAATTTGTATGTATTAATGGTACTATTTGGACATTTGGTACAGTATAAACAATACTTACAAATTATATGTACTATTTTAAATGTTTACTTCAATAGTTTAAAAATTGGTTGAACATTAATATATAATATTCATTGTTAGCTATTGGCGATGAAAGGGGGCATTGCTACGCCCTTACATGTAGATTTTATTATGACGTATACATTTGTACAATTTCAAAACTAAATTCATAGCTTTCATTACAAATAACCATATTTCGTCTTTTTAGGTCGTTGTCATTCTATTATTGAATGTATATTTAACATCGTTCGCCTATGCTCAATATGACAGTAATTTTGGCAATAGCAATCCCGGATACGGTGGTACTGGTACAGGTACCAGTGTATCTTCAGGAGATTATGGATACATAGGCCAAAATCAAGTCAGAGGACCTATTGAATCAGATGGAAATTCAGAGGTAAGTTCTATGTTTATTTGCTGCAGATTGTAATTTAATACAAACCATAATTTCACAATCAGGTGTTACTATTATCAAACTAATCGTCATTTTGCATAATACAAATAAATTTCATAACAAAATATTAATATGTAGTAGGTATGTACCCACGCCAATATTGTAATTATTATGGTAAATTAGTTATCTACCTATAAACAATGGTGTTTTCCGTCAGATAAGGTAGGTATTGTCGTATTACCTATGTACAGATTATAGATAGGAATATTCTCAATCAAATTAATTATACCTTTTTATAATTATATAGTTTTTAAATATAATTTACTTAAAACTGGAAATTACCATAAGTAATTTAACACAATAAGTGCATCTATAAGGATTCTGTTTTCCCCCTTTCTTTAAAAGGCATAATTAGTTAAATTAGTTTCAAATTTTCAATATTCAGCTATAGACTGTTGCCGAATTGTACGGTTAGTATGTATGACAAGTCCATATAATTACTATTACTTGTCAATAATTATTACATACAATAATATATATATTTTTTTTATTCCTGTTGGTTATAGCGTATTGTAATGTTGTACAATGTAGACTAATGTACGACTGTAAAGATAATATTTTGTTAGTCGCAAAATATGAGGTTATAAATTAGTATATTAAAATTTAAAACGTCTTATTGTAACTATAATACTTACAAAACTGTATTAAAACAATTTTATTCAACTATAGGAAAAATAGTAATAATTTTAATAGGTTTATTATTATTAAAGATATTCTACACAAAATGTATTTTATTTAAATTGGAATGACTACAATAAAGGGTGCGATAACCACAGAATACTGTGATGTGTCTCAATTTGCATATTACCAAATAATTTTATTTTTAATATATTATGTATACCTATACCGGCTATGACTTGTAAAAATTATAGAAAACTATAAATATAATACAGTTTATAAGTTTTAACCCATATTATAAAATACACATTAACGCATTAACCTATCGCGTTTAATGTGAATTTTTTTTAGCAACTGTGTTGTAAAACTCAGTGGCGGCTCGTGGTGTTCAAAGTAGGTGGTGAGCTATTATTGCAAAAGATTATTTAAAAAAAAAATGAATCTGTTTTAAGTATAAATGTAATTAATAAAATATTTATTAGCATTTTTAATTTTGAGATTATACAGTTTTAGAAAATAATATTACATATTTGTTAGGTATAGTATATTTTATTTATTGTCACAACAGACAACATATTGTCATAACTAATAATATTAAAATAGAAAAACGGTGGACAATAACTTAAAGCCAGTGCAGAGCGGCATGCGCTGCGTTAATATCTTTCTCCGTGTGTGTGTTTATCTCGTGCCACCGCTTGACGAGTGTTCAGTGGGAGCTGCACAACAAAGTGGCATATAATTGCCGATTCCCCACTCGACAACCAAACGTATTTTACACGGACAGACTGTGTTCAGACTGAGCTGCAGTGCTGCACACCAGTTGATGAGTATTTGTTGCATAGCTCAATTACATCTTAGGAGTGTATAATAATATTTGTCGTTTGTTTGTTTTTAAAATTTAATTTTTTTATATAACTAATACAGTTTAACAGATATCATATTAAAATTAATTTATTATTATACCCTATTATATCTAATTAATCTACGTGGTGTGCGCACACCTAGGCACGAGCCGCCACTGGTAAAACTTGTATTTCCGTAGGTAGGAAATCTATAAAAGTAATACCCTGTACATGTTCAACTAAACATTTTAATGATTTATTTTCGTACGTACCTTTTTTTTTTAGGTAATTGCTTCTATTATTATTAGTTAAACAGTTATCTCTAAACTTCATAAATTATCCCATGATAATTTTCAGATATTGGGCTACCAATGTTTAATGTGAATTATACAAGATTATATTCAAATGCACAGTGTTTAATGTGAATTATACAAGATTATATTCATTAATATTCAAATGCACAGTTATACTTTCATTTTACCCAAGTAAAAGTGATGAACAAATCAGATTTAAGTTATAATTCTGAATTTAGATATAGCCATACAGTTTTAACAAATACACTACATGAGTTATATGGCATTATTACGGTTTAGTATAGGCTTTACCTATTGGCATTAGTAGTATATACTAGAGTTATTAGATAATAGATAGTTATTAGTTTATATTATTAATTATTATATTGGCTGAACAATGTTTTTGACTGATTTAATGTAGCCCGAGCCGTTCAACTTTGCTTACCAAGTAAAAGATGCACCCACCAATACAGACTTCAAGCACGAAGCCAACAGTGACGGCAAACGAGTAACCGGAGCGTACAGCGTACTTCTCCCTGACGGTCGTAATCAAGTAGTGACATATGTAGCTGACGAAAATGGTTACAACGCCAAGGTCAGTTATGAAGGAGAAGCTAAACCACAACCACGTCAACCAGGCATCCAAGGAGGTTATCCGTCCCCACCAGGTTTCCCTGCTACTGTTCCTAAATATCCTCCTCCTGCATCTTATGGTTCTGCTCCTAGTCCCGCTGGTTATCCCGGATCTGCTTATTCTGCTCCCGTCTCTGGTTATTCTGGTTACTATGGTGGATCTCCTCCGGCACCAAGTTATCTCTTCCAATTTCCGACTTTCAAAAACGGTGTTAAGGAATCTCCTAGACTCAAAACCGAGAATTATGATTAAGATTTATAACGTTTGTTTAACTGGTTAATTTTAATATTTTAAGCAATTTTTTGAACTTGTCGTTAAAATTGTATTCATTTTTTTTTTCAAAAACAGTAGAAATAAGATATAAAGTGGTCACCGAATTATAACGAGTAAATATTTAATATTTCGTAGAACAAAATCTTCATGAATGCATACCGTATATTTCGACTAATAATAGTTACAATTTAAATATTTTATAACTAGGTAATAAAAATATTGTTTTTTTTATAAAATGCATGTGCTATACTGTTATCAGAGTAATTATTATTTATGAAATAAAATTTATCAGATTTTTCATTAATAATTTATTTTGCTATTCGTCAGGCTCAAATTCATAACATAGTTTTACAACTATTTCGGGTTCTGTAAACGGGCACGTAGCTAAGGGGTGGCCTGGGGTGGCCCGACCACTCAAAATATTGACAGGCCACCCCATTATATTGTTAAAATACCCAAGGCTCAAATAATTGAAGAAAAGAAGTTAAATCATATTCAACAATTTCTATTATGCTAGGTATTTGTTATTATTACATAATTATCTTTTACGCTGTGTTTTCACGACGATTAAAAACATAAATTAATATAACAGCTTGTAATTTATCGCATCTGATGCAATTCGTTTTTCGGAGAGCATGGTCTGATGGCCAGAACTCGGAATAGAAATCGTTCATCAATGCTCGTCGTATTCGTCGTGTAAAACACAATGCATCTATGATCTATATTATAAACCCGCATTCCTATTTTATTCATTCGAAATTTCCCATCAAGACACCATTGCTTAATTAGCGATGGTTAGCTTGGTAGTACGAAAATTATTATGCGTAACTATTAAATTCAATAATATACATAGTAGGTACTACTGTATTAGGTAGGTACCTATTCAGCGGCAGATAGCTAAAAATGTAGGCCCTCGAAATTACAGAGTGACAGACCCACTCAATATAATATTATAATAATTAATCAAAAATATAAAAACGCTACGACCTTCATACATTTCTTCTATTATATACCACATATGTTTGATAAACAACGATACTGTGAATACTGTCTCGTACCTACAGTGTTGGTAAAATTATTTTGACATAAGGGGGGATATGACTGATCTTTTAATATCCACTATTTAATTATTACAAATATTATAATGTATGGTTATCATATTATCTTAAACATTTAAAAAAAGAGGGTAAGTGAGTAATATTCTACTGTACATTAGGTGTCTAGAGAGTCACTGGATGTGTTCAATTTTAATTCAATTATATAAAACCATTGTATCTATATGCATAGGCGTGCGCAGACATTGTCAGCAGGAGGCGTCCCTTAAAAATGTCTGAACCAAAGATTCCTGTACTAATGGCTACCGTAAAAAGGGGTGACTTCAGACATGTGGGGTGAATTCGGACAACACCATGTTTTTTTAGTTATCTTATAATTTTAGAGTACACGTTTAATAAAAGTTGAAAACTGATACTATATTATCTATTATAACCTCCGTAGAAAATAATATTTATTTATGACATAATTGTGTCATAGTACATGTTATGGAGGCAAATACAAAATATTATATTTTTGTATTTTTAAATTACAAAACTATACATTGACTACTGTAGCACAACAACAAATAGAAATATTTGATTGCGTTTTTCGTATATATAAAAAATGTTTATACAAATTGTATACAACCGTATAATAAAATGTTTTACTCATGGGGGGTTTATTTATTTTGGCATAAGCCCCCCCCCCCAAAAAAAAATAATATCCACCTAAGTTAATGATATAATATCATTGTATAAGAAAAACGATTCTGAGCGAAGACGGTCAGTCAGCCTATGATATTATAAGTATATTTGATGATATTATTGTGAATAAAGTAATTTATAATTAGTATATTTACATGGAAGTTTAATTTTAATTTTTAATCCTAAGCCATAAAAGTTGAACATCTTATACATTTTCAAGTACTACATTATTTGAAAATTTTCAATTTGATGAATTTCGTCAACATTTGAACTTTAATTCATTTGAAAAAAAAATTAAAAATACTGAAATTTGATATTGTACTTAAACAGCTCAAATCGAGTCAAAATATTTTCAAAACTGTATGGTGAAATATAATAATACACGAAAATGTTATAAATCCTTAAAAAAATATTTAAAATCGTTATTCTTCGTTTAAATTTCGAATTTTGTACAAATTTGAATTTCAAATGTCCACAAGAAAAAAGTTCTTAGTACCTATATATATATATATATTTAGATTTTTGAATTTAGTACTTACGAGGAACCTTGTATTTTTAATTGTTAAGGCTTAGCTATTAAAATAGAATGCACTTTACAGTGATTTTGAAGAATTTTGTCAAGATTTGAACTTTAAATGGTCATAAAAAATGTAATGTGCCTTTTCAGTAAACTTTTTTTTTTGTGTAAAATGGGAGAACAGAACATATTATGAGAAATCTTGTATACATTTTTCAAATCTTGGATAAAAAAAAAAGTTTATTGATTTTCTAATTAGAAATATTATGCAAATTTTCGATATTTTGACGAATTTTGTCAAAATTCTAACTTTAAATAGTTTAAAGTTTAAATGATTATAAAAAAATATTGTGACTTTGTACTGTGTATATTTTTAATTCATATATGATCAACTTTTGAGAAACTTTGTTATACATTTTCAAACTATTTGACCGATCTAACAGTTGTTTATCGATATTAATAAAACTAAAAAAGCAAGAAAGTTGATACGCTCGGCTGTACCTACATTATGTATTTAAGTGTCTAGAGAAGTTACTGTAATGGATGTGTTAAATTTAAACTCAATGATCTAAAATCGTTGAATACGATAGTCATTTTAAGCGAAAACAGTCAGTCAGCCTATAATATTATAATATAACTATAAGTATATTTTATGATATTATTGTGATTAAGGTAATTTATTTTACTATAAGGCAATAATTTACTTACTATAGTTCCTAGGTACCACTTACCCAATCGGAAATTTATGTCTTACGAAGATACTCACAAAGGGCGCTATACTGCGCCTGTACTGGCTACCAACAGTCGGCTGGCCCATACAGGCACTGTACTGGCCAAAATTGTGTCCAGTACTGCACTAGTAATGGCAGCCAGTGTTAACTCAATACTAGTATACTACAAGTGCCGAATGAATAGTGAGCAACGGCCCGCTAGTGTATCTTGTAGTTGTGCCAAGCCTTGGCTAACCACTGGTACACTAAATTATTAGTGAAGGCTAGACAGTGTCTCTCATAGTTGTGACAAGCCTAATCACTCTCAAAAATATACTTATGCCAAATATTACTTTTGACCCAAAATATACAAAAATATGCACTGTTAATCTTTATATTTTTCTTAGGTATGAAACTAATTTGTATCTCAGTTAGCATGTTATCCTGTGTTGCAAAAAAAACATGCAAATACATGAACCTACGAGCCCTGATTATATATGAAGAGATGTTTTGCCAAAATTTAAAGAATTTAAATTATAAAAAAATACTGTGATTACCTATGTATTGTGTGCTTGTGTAGCTATATTTTTTAATTGATATATAAATAACTTATGAGAATATTAGTTTTAAATTTTCAAATTGCTTGTTCAAGCAAACATTTGTTATCGATATATTCACAGAAAATAAATCGAAATTATTCTATAATAATAGCTCAAAATAGGTAAAAATATTTTGAAAGTTTTTTCGTGTGAAATATGCTAAATAAATAAACATTTGGTGAACATTTTAAGTTTCTATAAATAGCTATTCATTTTTTGAATTACAAGAAAAACAATCAATTTTGTCAAACGCTGCAAGTGTTGCATAATATCCTCTTTTTTCCTTATTTTATTTGTTTTTCCAGATTATTTTTAAAAATAGGTAGTTAGAATTTTCAATTTTGATATCTCAGAATCACCAACTAAATCGAATTTACTATCAGAAACCACCATCAAAGTTTAAAATCAAAGCATTTTTTCTACTACTTATCGTGTAGGTACATATATCATGCCACCAAAGTTTTTAAAATGTGGTCTTTGCAGCCTCAATATCTTAATTATTTATTATAGAGGTAGCCTACTACCTACTCATAATCATGACTTAAATATACTCATTAGCTTAATATAGTTATGAATTTATAATGTACATAAAATGTGGCCTAGTGGCCATGGCCCGACGTTATCATGGACTAAGACGCCACTAGGCCAGTTATATATAATATTAAATATTTTGTATTTATATTCATAAAAATAATATGTAGTTAGGTATTTTATTATAATATTACAAATTGCAAATATATATATTTATAAATTGTCCCCCTGAGAAATCAACGCAGGGCCAAACTACTGGACTGATCAGGCTGAATAATTTTCAGGATAGATAAATATTATAATTTCACTGTGTTTTACTGGACTGATCAGGCTGAATAATTTTCAGGATAGATAAATATTATAATTTCACTGTGTTTTAAGGAAGTATTTTTGGAAATTCAACTCCTAAAGGGGAAATTGAGGGGTTGTAAGAATACAACAATGGAGCCATCTGTCGAGCAATATCTAATATTTTGTTTATAAAGGATTGCTTTTTGTTTAAATTATTATTATTATTATTATTATTATTATTAGCACCTACTTATACATAAGAATTTTTATAATTTTTTTATCACTATTTTTTCCGTCAATCCTATGTTGATTTTGCAGGGAATTAATATTTATTTAATATTTATTGATTAGTGGTTGTCATTGGCAATATAATATCGGCATAGTTTATAATTACGTGCCGACGTCATTGTTCTTTATATAATTTATCTTTAATTACATTATTATATAATATTTGTTTTTTTTATTTTTTTTACTTATTGCACCTGTTTATTTCATAATATTTTTGTCGCATATAACATACGAAGGAGCGCCTGCTGAAAGACTAATCGCTTATAAGCCACGAGCCTTTAGCTGTACATATGTTTACATATATATATTTTGTACGTATATTTTATAAAAAATGTCATTTATTGAAGAAATTTTTGTCAGTGGAACGTTGACATTTCAAATATTTGTACCAATTATACATAATCTAGATATAATATATAAATTAATGTCTGTCTGTCTGTCTATCTGTCTGTATGGAGGTCTGTCCTTTGTGCATTCCTAAACTGATGTTGATAAAATTTTGTGATACAATTTGTTACAGAGATGGATTAGACCTCTGGGAAAGTTTATGACTTAAAAATATTGTACCTTCAAAAAAATTAACTTTTTTTAACTGAGATAAGTTAATTTTATTTTCTATTTTAACTTCAAACTTAACTAGTTAAATTTTTTCCTTTGTTAACTTTTAGCTTAACTAAAGGCAATTTAATTGAATTAACTTAACTTGCCACAGTTAATTATTTTCATTAACTTGCCCGCCATTGTTGTTTCCACAGCGCGTTATACCCAAAAGGAGTTGAACAATCACAATTTTTTTTCGAGCAACGCCGGTTGGGTATATTCATTTAGCTAATCCCGTACACTTCGCTGCCCGTTAACACGTCGAGTGTCACTTAGATTTGGTGAGCGTTGTCCTTTAAATTTACCAACTTTCAACTTTGTATGACTCAAACTTTATTAAATTCGTTTAATATTCGATGTATGGTGTTCAAAACTTTTCATCGATCATCTTGAATATCAAAATACTTGTGCAAGCACCACTTTATAAAATGTGAATTTTAGAAGACGCTTTCTTAGTGCACAGTGCACATCACAATTACATGGTGGTACGAAAGTACCATGAAAATTGCAAACCTCAAGCTATCATTACTTAAGCACTACTTTGATCAGTCAATGAGACGTTCGATTATATTATATTATTGCCATCCCGACCGGCGTTGCCCGGGAGACACGCTTGTTATTATGCAAGCAGTGTATTTTCAGATAGGCAATCCACCTGAGGTAGATTTTAGACCTCTCGGAGAGCAAAAGTAATTGCAAATACCTTATAAGTACGTTGTTTATGATGTGCATGTGTAGGTTCCCGGGACAACGGTCTAACAATATTAGCGTTAGGAATACCATTTTTACTAAGTTAATATGGTTTCGACCAAATATAATAATTAATACAGGTCTAACATTATATTCAATCATAACTAATAGCAACCTTACAACTAACAAAAATATATTATCTTTCATGTAAACCTTGTCCTGACAATTCCGAACACAACAAAAAAAGAATCAGCCAAATGGGTTAAGCCGTTTCAGAGCCAACCTGTCAATAAAAAATGAAATGCATAATGTCAATAAAAAATGTCGTTATTGACATATAAAAATGAAAAATATTAAATAGAAACCCGTTGGGCTTTATTTAGCATTTCCATTGAAATGTGCACGGAATTGTGCCTAATAATAAGTTAGTTACGAATAAATAAAGTTTGGCAATGATGAACATATTTACCAGGTCATCCATGAATGTCGGCTATCAACGGTCACGAATCGCAAGAAAAACTATTAATTTTTATATTAATCCATGTTATATCGAGGAAATTCAGTCAGACAAGGTTTTATCGTGCATAATTTGAACAAATATCTCGTACCTAAATTTGGAGAATAATAATTATAATGTTATCATCATTGCATCATCAGGGTGTTAAGAGCCGAAATTCGAAATTATAATTATAATTAATATTATACTATCGTTTATCGATGTTCACATCGGGCGCCTAAAGATGTACAATTATTAAACATTTATAATAATATAGCCTGTGTAGATGAACTAACCCAGTGCAATCTCGGTTGATTTTTTTTTTCGTACAACCTAGATCTTACATCTTATGCTAATATTTCAGTTGCACTCAGTCGGCGACTATATAAGACGTCCCGCCGGAATCAAAGTAAATCATTTGTGACAGTGCCGTCGAACGGGAAAAATACCAATTCCGTTGCTGATTATAACTATTCCAGTGTGCGAATATCTATCGCCTACCTCCTGTAAATAATAAGTACTGTTCACCCTTTCATATTATTCACCCACCACACTACCATGAGCCGACAAAAGGTAAGCGAAAAACAATATTAACTATGTTATAGGTACACCCACTGTATATACTGCACAACGTGAATATTAATGTAATACCTATTACTACAATAATTTTATACATTAAAATATATATTTTAGTTAAATGACAAATGTATGCATTTACTCGTTAGCATAACTAATGGATAATTATATTTTATTCTCGGAATTTCATGTTAAATATTCAAAATAATATGGGTTGTTGCAATTGTTCAAGTTACGACACGAGTACCTATACAATGAAATTTAAACGTACAATTCATTCGTTGTTATATTTTATTTAACACATACAATTAATTTAAAAATAATCTAGGTAGGTACCTAGATTTGCTAGATTATAAAGTGTCCCCGAGTTTATAATTTATTGAATGACCGTTTTAATTTTCAGTTAGATATTAATAATTTTTTTATTTTTATAAGCTTTTTTTTAAAATCGTATTCAATCCAAATAATTTTAAATTACTTATATACTTTTGAAATGTTTACTAACAAATATTAAAATCTATAGCAATTTGGTACGTATCCAATCATAATACCAAATAATATTATTGAATAATGGTTTTTGATAAATATAATGTAAATTGTTTGATTTAAAACTTTTTATTTATTGAATCCAAAAATAGTTAATAGGATACATTTTCTACAGAATATAGAAACTATTATACGATTAAATGTGTCCATAATAGTAACGTATAATAATTTTTATAGTGACCATTGCCCATTGCCTATGACAATTTTTAAATTTCAATTCATAAGTACTCACCCATCTACTAGTATACAGTTTACTGCAACCTACTTTATAGTTTATACATATCATATGTATAATATTATGATATGATAAAGTATAAAAAAAAGAATTTGATTATTTTAATCTATAATATTTTTCTAAATTTCTTATGGATTATAAAAAAGATTAAAGATATATTTTTAATCGTGATTATAACTTAAAAGATGATAAAAATGTATATAAATATTTTTTCTATCGAACTAATTCGATGGTACATACTATGTATTTGTTTATATATTATTTTGTATGTGTATTGTGTACTTTTGTACATGTGTGTACTTTTTTTATTTAAAATAAATATTTTTATGTGTATAAGATATTCAAATTCACACAAATAATCTATAATAACACATAATGACATGTTTAATACACATTATTAAAATAATTATATAGTTAATAACTTAAACTCGGATGATTATATTTTAAATGTTGATCTTATTTTTTCTTTCAATTATTATCAATTTCATGATTTATTGAAATATTGATAAAATCATATTTTTACCAAAAACAACAGTTATACTTTCGTTTCTCAGTAATATTCGTGTTCAATTTTTGTAATGCAAAAACATTTAAGTTTTTATAATATAATACCTTCCTACACGGAAGATACTTCATTTCGTTGCCTGTAAAAATGCCACCTTAAATATGATTAAAACTTTATGTTAAATTTGTTACCTAATTAATAACCACTGTAGTGTTGTTTACAACTTAAAAAAAAGATATTAACTTTAACTTTGATTTTTGAGACATTAATCATAACATTGCACATTTATTAGCATTTAGGACTGGGTTTATTTTTGTAATGATTACGCCTAATACGTAAACCTAAAGATCATATAATATTTTCATTTTAATTTTTTAACATAAAATAAACCTTACCTAACCTATTATGAATTTAATATAGAAGGTAGGTGTAGCAATCGTGTACCTGACTTTTTTTTAAATCTATTAATGAGCGATGTTTTTGTAGTACCTACCTCAGAGACGGATTTACACAATTGCCGCCCCTAGGCAAATTTTTTTTTGCCGCCCCATTAAACTTATCAACGAAAAAACGTATTTTCAAATACTTATTTAACTTAAGTACTAAAAAAATAAATCATAAAGACTGATACTAAACAATAATTAATGACAGTTATGTTAATAAACTGTTTACTGTTCTAATAAAATGTGTTTATAAAATATAGTGTTTACTTACCAGTAATTTAAGTAGTATACTAATAACCGAATATGAAGTCTATCCGCCTTGAATGTTGTGTTGAAAATAATCGAATGTCTAATCAGAATAAACCTATTTTTTACTCGGCCGCCCTCTATTTCATAGTCCCGAAGAAAAATAAACAATTAGGTATTACATAATTTTATCTTTTGGATAGAAAAAGTTTTATTATTGTACAAATAATGCATAGTACGATTAGTACGTACGAGTATATTATATAAAAATATTCAGTGACTGGTTTATAATTAGACTATCGTTCCAATACGAATCGATCGTCACCCGTATTCGTATTAAATATATCCAGGGCCGGCGCAAGCAATTTTTTATATGTAGGCAAAGATCAAAATTGCCGCCTCTTATTTTATTATAACTTACATACCTAGATAAATGTCATATTATGTAGGAGCACAAAAATTAAAAACTTTTTACACTTGTCAATTATTATATAATAAAAAAGAAATTACTAAATTAATAGTACATGGATTGTTTGTAAGGTATTACAATAGTTATTATGAAATACAATATTTAGTTATAATTTTTAAAAATGTATTTTTCTTGCTTTTGCTGACGCAAAATCTTTAACTAAATCGTCAATGTCAAGATCATTCGCAATTTGATTTTCAATTGAAATTGTTGCCAATCCAACTAAACGATCCTATGAAATTTGTTATCTTAAGTAGTTCTTTACAATTTTTAATTTTGAAAAGCTTCTTTCAGCTGAAGCTGCAGTTACTGGTAATGTTAATAAAATTCTTAGAGCTACGTATACATTAGGAAATAATTCTATTAATTTGTTTTCACATATAAATTGTAAAATTGCTTTTGGATCATTTTCATTTTTCAAATGTTTTTGTAATGTATTTATTTCTTCACAAAGTTCGACAGAATTTATATCAGAATTTAAACCGTCATTTGAAGAAAGTGCTAGCTGAAGATCTTTACAGCACTTCATTAAATGTTCATAATTATTGACATTAGAAATATTATAAAGAAATGAAAATAATTTACTATGGTCTTCAAGTTGAATAAATCGGTAATTTATTGATTGGAGCATATTGTCTAATATTTGATGAAAAAAATTTATTTTGAAATTCTGTTTAGGATCTGTTATAGGAGTATCACGAGATTCGTAATCAAAATGAGTTTTTCTACGTCGAGTTCGAAATTGATTTAACGAAAAACTATCTTGTACACCAAGTTCATTTGCTAAGTAACTTGCTTGTGTAAGTATTTTTTCAAAATTTTCATCACTACGATATTTTTGTAAAAATATTTTGGTATTGTTTATCTGATTGATTGATTCGATAATATTTAATGATGTAGATTGTAATAGTTTACTAGTGACATTAATTTCGCATAATAAATCATACCAAATTACTAAACTACATAAAAATTTGAAACTTATTAATTTTTCAATGAAATCTTGATAGATGTATATCGTATATGTCTTGATTTATAAAAAAATTATATTGTTGAGCTCAATAAAGAATGTACCTACACTAGTACACTACACTGTACAGTGAGAGTGAATGACACACAACAGTCTCTAATTGCAAAAACGCTAATAGAATTATTATCGATTAAATTGTAATGGCACAACATGCTTTGAGACGTTATCGCAATTCAGGGAAAAATTATCTGTATTATTTTTATTGAATATTGTTTTGGAGTTTTATCGATCTACACAATGTGTTTGTATATTGTATTTTGAAATTTGTTAAAATCTAAAATAAACGTGAAAAATAAGATATTTGATTTTTTCTTATATGCCGCCTCTATATAGGTAGTTATAAATTTTGCCGCCGTAGGCTTGTGCCTACGTCGCCTACGCCTATAACCGGCCCTGAATATATCATAATATCTGTATGTATTGTGAGTGTACTGTGTAGTGTGTGTACGCCGTGCTATCAAACAAACCACGAGCGACGAGCGATTATTAATAATATTATTACGACTTAGCAAAAAAACAAATTAACGAAATATGTTATCCATGTTTAGTATTTAGATAATAGATCTACGTTCCGGCAGTCGTTCGATAATTTACTTGGACGTTTATTGTTATGTATTATAAAATAAAGAAGAAATTATATTAACAAGAATATTATTGTACTTAAATATTAAACATTTTTTTATCCATCCTTCAGAGTAATCACCGTACATTAGAAAATCAAAAAGAAACTTAGAGTATTCTCAATAAAATATTGGCCTAAAATTGCCGCCCCTAAAAATTTGCCGCCCTAGGCAACTGCCTACTTTGCCTGACGCTAAATCCGCCACTGACCTACCTACATAGTTTTAAATTATATCCAACCATTATAATATATTTAAAAAAACCGTTCCCGGTAATTAATAGCATTTTAATCTCCATTAAAGAATTTTAAAACAATAATTGTGATGTGATATACCAAATATACCTATAATACAGGTGAGTAGGTGACAGGTCTAAAAATAGCTTAATTCACTACCTATTCATTAAAATACATTATAACTTAGGTAGGTACTTACGTAGGTATTAATGGTACTATTTGGTACAGTATAAACAATACTTACCAAGTTTATGTTTTTTTAATTGTTTACTTCAATAGTTTAAAATTGGTTGAACATTAATATAATATTCATTGTTAGCTATTGGCGATGAAAAGGGGCTTTGCCCTCTTTCCCAGCCCACCCATGACTAAGCCCTTACTTGTAGATTTTATTATGACGTCTACATTTGTACAATTTCAAAACTAAATTCATAGCTTTCATTACAAATAACCATATTTTGTCTTTTTAGGTCGTTGTCATTCTATTATTGAATGTATATTTAACATCATTCGTCTATGCTCAGTATGGCAGTAATTTTGGCAATAGCAATCCCGGATACGGTGGTACTGGTACCGGTACCAGTGTATCATCAGGATATTATGGATACAAAGGTCAAAATCCCGTCAGAGGACCTGGTGGATCAGATGGAAATTCAGAAGTAAGTTCTATGTTTATTTGCTGCAGATTGTAATTTAATACAAACCATAATTTCACAATCAGGTGTTACTATTATCAAACTAATCGTCATTTTGCATAATGTAAATACATTTCATAACCAAATATTAATATGTACTCACTTAAATTTTGTCATTATTATAGTAAATTAATTAACTACCCATTAACAATGTTGCGAGTTGTCAGGTAAGGTAGATATTTTCGTATTATCTATATACAGATTATAAATAGGAATATTCTCAATCGAAATAATTACACCTTGGTATAATTAGGTACTTATATAGTTTTTACTTATAATTTATCGAAAATAGTTTCAAATTTTCAATATGCAGCAATAATATTCTATTAATTTTTGTTAATCGCAAAATATGGCGTTATAAATTAAATTAGTATATTAAAACTCCTTATTGTAAATAAACATTTTTTTTTTTAAATTGATTATGAAGAATTATGGGCACTGTTCGTTTGTAAGGGAGAAATGGTAGGTTTGTAAGCACATGTGTTTTTGGTTTGTCAGATTTTTTAGTGGGCACCCGTAGGTATCTGCCATGCCCGGGTGGGGGATGGTAGCACTTCTCTCTGGACACCTTGACTTGCCTGAAGAAAAACGACACCCACTTCCGGGATCGAACCGAACCCGGCCACTCCGTCCCCCAAATATTGTAACTATAATACTTTCAAATTTGTACAGTATTAAAACTAATTTATTCAATCATAGGAAAATTAGTAATAATTATAAGAGGTTTAAATTTATTAAAGATATTCTACACAAATTGTATTTTATTTAAATTGGAATGACTACAATAAAAAGTGTGGTAAGTGATAACCACTGAATACTGTGATGTGTCGCAATTTGCAAATTACCAAATATTTTTATTTTTAAATATACCTATGGATTGTAAAAATAATAGAAAACTAAAAATATAATAAAATGTATAGGTGCTAACCCATATTATAAAATTCACATTAACGCATTAACCTATCATGTCTTGTATAGTTGACGTTGCTGTAGGTAGAAATCTATAAAAGTAATACGCGGTACATGTTCACCTAAACATTTTAATGATTTATTTTCGAACGTACCCTTTTTTTACCTTCTTTTTAAGTAATTGCTTCTATTATTATTCCTTAAACCATTATCTATTAATTTCATAAATTACCCCATCATAATTTGCAGAAATTGAGCTACCAATCTTTAATGTGAATTATACAAGATGTTGTATTCAAATGCTTAATTTTTTTTTCATTCACCCAAGTAACGTGACAAAATGTGTATAAGTACTAAAGTGACGAACAAATCAGTTTTAAGTTATAATTCTGAATTTAGATAAAGCCATACAGTTTTAAATAATACACTGATACCTACATAGAATATAATAAGGCTGTACGGAATAGGTATATTCTTAACCTATATAAGGTCAATAGTTGACATTAGTACCTACTTTGTAGTATTTACTCGAGTTATTAGATAGTTATTACTAAATACAAATAACTTATTAGTTTATATTATTAATTCTTATATTGACTGAACAATGTTTTTGACTGATTTAATATAGCCCGAACCGTTCAACTTTGCTTACCAAGTAAAAGATGCACCCGCCAATACATACTTCAAGCACGAAGCCAACAGTGACGGCAAACGAGTGACCGGAGCGTACAGCGTACTTCTTCCTGACGGTCGTAATCAAGTAATGACATATGTTGCCGACGAAAATGGTTACAATGCGAAGGTCAACTATGAAGGGGAAGCTAAACCACAACGATCTCAACCAGGCATCCAAGGAGGTTATCCGTCCGCACCGGGTTTCCTTTCTACTGCTCCTAAATATCCTCCTGCCCCAATACGTGGTTCTGATCCTCGTCCCACTGGTTATCCAGGTTCTGCTGTTCCTGACCCGGGTTATCCTTCTTCTGGTCCTGCTGCCCGTCCTGATCCGGCTGGTTATCCCGGATCTGCTTATTTTGGTGGATCTCCTCCGCCACTAAGTTATCTCGTCCAATTTCCTACTTTCAAAAACGGTGTTAAGGGATCTTCTAGACCCAAAATATGGAATTTTGACTAAGATTTATAACGTTTGTTTAATTGATTAATTTTAATATTTTAAGCGATTTTTTGCACTTGTAATTAAATATGTATTAAAATTATTTTTTTTCAAAAACAGTCAAAATAAGATATAAAGTGGTCACCGAATTATAACTAGTAAATATTTAATATTTCGTAGAACAAAATCTTCATGAATGCATACCGTATATTTCGACTAATAATAGTTACAATTTAAATATTTTATAACTAGGTACTTAATAAAAATATTGTTTTTTTATAAATTGCATATGTTATACTGTTATCGTAGTAATTATTATTTATGAAATAAAATTTATCAGATTTGTCATCAATAATTTATTTTGCTGTTCGTCAAGCTCAAAGTCATAACACAGTTTTACAACTATTTCGGATTCTCTAAACAGGCACGTAGCCAAGTATCAAAACCCATAAAACAACTTATATTCTATACCATATTATGCATATTTCTTTATTATGTATCACGAAGTACTCAAGTACAAAAAATTGATAAATATATTCTGAAAGCAATGTTTACATTTGGAAAACTTGTTACCATTTTGGTATTTATTTGTTTCATTAGCATTTCATTGACAGACATTCCAGTTTCTTGAAAGCTCTTAAAGATTAAAAACTCATAAACAAATGTAAATTCCAAATTAATTTTATAGGCTTTAAATAAATTAATTGCCTTTATTATTATTTCTTCGTCTTTTAAATTCTATTCAGTTAAAAACTAAATCTTTCGTCTAATCATAAATACGCCTTTTTCGTTTTTCCATTTCTACGATCAATTTGTCAATAATCATAACATAAAATGTTTGAATTTTGAATTTAACTCTAGCACTCATTTGGTCTACAGCATCAATTTCATTGCAATAATTTATCGAGGTTAATGAGTACCGTATAGTCATATGCGGAGAGACCGCATTGCAGTCGATAATAAACTATTGTTTGTATTACTTAAACGATATTATTTTATAATTATTATTAATTTGTATTATTATTTCCTAAAATCTCTAAAAAGTAATCGTGGTATCATTCTTAAATACATTATATTTTACTTGTTGTGCTAAAGTGTACAATCATACAGACTAACTTGTAATATTAATAAAAAAAAAAAACATAAAATATTATAAAAAAATATTGTAGTCACACAATTTACTTTCGTAGACCCCAACAATTTCGTAGGTCCTAGGCACAGTACCTATAGTGGCTAGTGCCTATGCGCTAATACGGCCTTGGGCCCACCAATATATTATGATAATATTAGTAATAGTTTTCTATATCCTGATATCCCGGTGGGCCAATCCGCTGCTAGGTAACCTATTTATATAAATAAGTATAAATAAATTCGTGGATTTCCTAATTTCCTATTATATAATCAATTTTAACAAATAATGATAAGATACTTAATACATATTGTACTTTTGTTACTATAATAAGCATTATATTTAAAAGAAAAAGACTTGGGTATGTTTCTTCATAATCACAAATTTGAATAAAAAAAGGTGGGTAAGTGGATGTCGCTCTGCTGTACAGTAGGTTACAAGTGGGTCACTGTATAATGGATGGTATTAAATTTGAATTCAATGATACAATATCATTGTATAAGAAAAACGATTCTGAGCGAAGACGGTATGTCAGTCTAGGTTTAAGACATATGGATATGATATACATATCTATGGTATTAAAACAAAAATTGACCTATAATAAATTCCAAATTAATCATATCACAATATCCACTAGGTACTTATAACACGTTATACATCAATAACAAACCCTGATACTATTATTGATATATAATATAGTGTACTTTACAAGTTTCAAGTACCCACGAATAGTATTATACACTCACAACAAAATGACTAAAATAGGTATGCTAGGTTTTTTAATATGTAATTTCGTCCCAAATTTGAACTTAAAATGTCTGTAAAAAATAACTGTGCTCATATATTTTTTAGATTTTTTGGCTACAGTATGAACTATTTATGAGAATCTTTTTTTTAAATTTTCAATCTTTAGCTATAAAAACTGAACATTTTATAATTTATTAATTACGATGGTTGATAATTTTCGAGATTTTGATAAATTTTGTCAAAATGCGATCTTTAAATGCTTATAAAAAAAAATTGTGCCTATGTATTTTTAATATTTTTCAATTGCTATTGTAACAATATATCAGGAGCCTTGTATTAATTTTTCACACTTTTTGGCTCAACAGATAAAACTTTATTAATATAAATAGAAAAAAAAAACTAAAAAAATTGAAAACTGAAAATGTCCGTAAACGGCTCAAAAAGAGTCAAAATATTTTCAAAATTGTATGGTGTATAGGAAATGCTAATATAAACATTCAGTGAAATTTTCATGTATATACAGTAATTCGTTTTTGAATTACAACAAAATAAGGAAATCGCCACATGAGAAATCGAGTGAATATCCAATGTTGTAAAAATTTGAATTTCAAACGCTCATAAAAATTTAATTTGACTTTCTTATAGAATTTTTTTTTTTTGATAAATGTAGGAAATCTTATAAGGAATCTTGTATTACATTTTCATATCTTAGATTTAAAAAGAAAAAATTTTATGAATTTCTAACTCGAAAAAATTTGCAAATTTTCGTGATTTTTCCATATTTTGTCATTTTTTGAACTTTAAATGCTTGAAAAAAAAACTGTGGCTAACAATTTTTAATATTTTTCATCTGTCTTTGAAACAATATAGTAGGAGCCTTGTATTAAATTTTCAAGTATTTTTACTCAACAAATAAATTTTTATTGATATTCATAAAAAAAAAAAATAATAAAATTGGAAACTGAAAATGTCCCTAAACAGTTCAAAATAAATCAAAATATTTTGAAAATGTTATCGTGTATAGAAAATGCAAATATAAACAACCAGTGAAAATTTCATGTATATACGTTCATTTGTTTCAGAGTTACACCAAAAACCAAAATCGATTTTTTGGAAAACCAATTTTGAGTAAAAATTCCCGTTTTTCCTTAATTTTTATGTTGTTTTTCCCGGCGCTTGTGAAAACTACTGGGAAATTTATTTTGACCTCCCCAATGCACCAACGATATTCACTTTCCAATAGAACAAGATACTGAAGTTGAAAATCGAAGCATTATTTCGACTACTTATATCGTGTACACAGACACAAAAAAAATAAAAATAAAATAAAAAAATAATAAAAAAAAACATACATCATTGTAAAATCAATACATTCATCGTTTCCCTCAGAATCTAAAATAAAAACGATTCTGAGCGGAGACGGTATATCAGTCTAGGTATAGGAAATATTATAAACTTATCTATGGTACCTATTAAAAAAAATTGACCTATAATAGGTCCCTATAATATATTCCAAATTAATCATATCACGACAATATCCATTAGGTACTTATAACACGTTAAACATCAACAACAAACCCTGATACTATCATAGATATATAATCGTATACTTTAGAAGTTTCAAGTACCCAAGAATAAAATTATACAATCACAAAAAAATAACTAAAATAGTTATTCTAGGTTTTTTTATTATGTAATTTTGTCCAAATTTGAACTTAAAATGACTATAAAAATAAACTGTGCTTATGTATTTTTTAGATTTTTTGGTAATAGAATTAAATACTTACGTGGAATCTTGTTTTAAATTTTCAATTCTTCAACTTCTAAAAGTTGAACATTTTATACATTTTTAACTACAAAATAATTATTCAATTTTAAATTTGATAAATTTTGTCAAAATTCGATCTTTAAATGCTTAAAAAAATTTGTGCCTATGTATTCTTAATATTTTTCAACTGCTTTGTAATAATATATCAAGAGCCTTGTATTACATTTTTACACTTTTTAGCCCAATAGATAAAACTTTATTGATATTCATAGAAAAAAAAAAAAATTTTAATACGATGTTGTCCGTAAATAGCTCAAAAAGAGTTAAAATATTTTCAGTGAAATTTTCAAGTATAGTATCTACTATCATTCGTTTTTTAATTAAAACAAAATTAGAAAATCTTTACATGAGAAATAGAGTGAATATCAAATGTTGTAAAAATATAAATTTCAAACGCTCATAAAAATTTAATTTGAGTTTCTTGTAGACATTTTTTTTTTGAGAAATTTAGATAAACTTATGAGGAATCTTGTATTACATTTTCATATCTTAGATTTAAAAAGAAAAATTTTTATGCATTTCTAACTCGATATAATTTACAAATTTTCGTAATTTTTACGTATTTTGTCAATATTTGAACTTTAAATGCTCTTAACAAAAAACTGTGACTAAGGATTTTTAATATTTTCATCTGTCTTCGAAACAATATATTATTAGCCTTCTATTAAATTGTTAAGCTTTTGTACCTAACAAATAAAATTTTATTGACATTTATAGAAAAAAAAAACCTATAAAAAAATTTAAACTAAAAATGTCCGCAAAGAGCTCAAAATAACTCAAAATATTTGAAAAATTTTATCATGTATAGAAAATGGAAATATAAACAACTAGTGAAATTGTCATGTTTATACGTTCATTTGTTTTAGAGTAACAACAAAAACCAAAATCGATTTAGCTTAAAAATTCCAGTTTTTTCTTATTTTTCCTTTTGTTTTTCACTGTGCTTTTGAAAACTACTGGAAAAATTTTACTTTTCACCCCCCCCCCCCCCTAAAGTACTAACTAGATTCACTTTCCTATCAGAAAAGATCTTGTTGAAGAAAATCCAAGCACGTTTTGTCCTAAAAGGTGATGACAGACACAAAAAAAAAAACACATTATTGTAAAATCAAGACATTCATCGTTCCACTCAGAATCTAAAAAACACACATCATTGTAAAATCAATACATTTAACGTTCCACTCAGAATCTAAAATTAAAAAGCTCAGCACCTGCTTAACATAACATGTTATCATTTTATTATTTTGAAGTTGCATTTCTAAAAACAAAAAATAAAATAAAAAAACAGCTGATATTGTATTGTCTACTATAAGAAAT